TATCTCAAGGGTGCAGAGAACCTTCCTGGCCATCACAGTCTGTGACCACAACCAAATCAGTTCCTTATGCTCTTTGAGCCCTGGGTGCTTCATCTGTAAAATGGGAGTAGTATTTTTCCTTGTAGTCTATGTTTTAGGAAAATAAGATGACATATACCAGGGTCTTAACCCTGGGTGCTATTTCCTCTTGTTGCCTGTTTTTGTAACCAGGAACAATAATTACAACATGCCCTCTTGATTCAGGAGATTAAATATGAAAATATTGTATCTCCCAACTTGTTAGATGTCTGATGCACTGAGTTTATGTTCTCTACAACTGAAGAAGGAATTCTAGAGGAACAATGGAGGTTAAGAGTAAACAAATATTTATTGATAGGAAAGCTCCTGAGAGGTAGGATGGGACCTGAATGTGTAAGGCAGGGGACTCCATTTCACAGCGAAGTTTTATAGAGCAAAATCCACATGGGTCGCTGGGAATTTAGCTCAGTGGCACTGTGCTCGTCTGAAAACCACAAGGTCCTAAATTTGATCCCCAGTACCAAAAAACAAAAACAAAAACAAAACATGTGGGTACAACGTGGGTTACAGCTATGATTCACCAATGACATTATAAGTATAGTCACTTAGGTAATAGTGGTTCAATTGTTAAATAAGTCATGTAACAAGCTTGCATTGAAAGAACAAAGATTTCTAGGAAGAAGACCAGAGAGCTTTGGTTGCCTACTGGGGTAAATGATGTCTATTTAGGCTTCACTAGGTCCTATAATTGTCTTTTTAGGAAGTATGCAGACCTGGTCATTTCAACTTCATCTCCAGGCTCCAATGATGTGTCTCCTGCCACAGCTGTGATGTGTTTCACCTTTGTCCTGACTCTCTCAAAACCTAGCCCTGTCTAACTGCCTACAATATTTCTACTATCTTAGCTATCTATAATACTCTGATTGTTGGATGGATCTTAACACCATCTCTGCAGGTGCCCCTGAAAAGCAGAGTACAGCCCCATCACAGAGCTGAAAGTGCCCTAGATGCTGATGGCAAGGCTGCTGATATTTCAGGCGTTATTTTCCCTCAAGGCCTGGGACAGCAGGCCACATCTAGGTGGGTAGAGACATGCCACACACTGCCTCCCCCCGCCGCAGTATCCAAATCAGGCAGATGTGCTACACACCAGATCTCTGCCTAAAGCTAAAAACGGGAGTATAGGCAGGGTTCCTGGTCAAGCAGGTCACCTCCAGTCCTTAAGCCCCTAGTGACAAGGAGGAGTGACTTCTAAAAAGAACAGAGGAAAAAAGGCCCATTTTTCATAGAAGGTGAAAAAATATAGAATGCAAAGCTGAATAAAGTACAAGGTAAATAAGACTCTTTCTTCAATACTGAGGATCAAACCTATGGCCTTCACTCTAAGATACATCCCCCAATTTTTTTTTTTTTTTACTACGGATTGAACTTGGGTCCTTGAGCTTGCGAGGCAGGCAACAGAACCACTGAGCTAAATCCCCAGCCCAATATCGCCCATTTTTTTTTTTTTTGAGATAGAATCTTGCCAAGTCAATAAATTGTCCAAGAGGGGCTTGAGTTCCTACCTTAGCCCCCAGAGTTCTGGGATTACAAGCAGTGTACCTGTACACCTGGCTTAGCAAACATCGTTAAACGTGACTGTCACATTTACTGTGGCATAGCAAATAACTCTGTGGCTTAGAGTAGTATCACTTCAGTGTTTCTTCTGACTACAGCTTCCAGCTGGCCAGACAAGGCTCACTCATGTCCTGCATTCAGCTAGGATGCTCAGGCCTCTCTCCCAGAAGGCCTTTCACAGATGGCAATAAGGAAGCCACCAAAGCCCTTTGTGTCTGGAGGAAAGACAGAGGTGAGGTTGCAGGAGTTGTCAAGGCCAGATGCTGTCAGCAGAGCCTGAGTTATGTCCTGACGAGTGGGATGCCACTGAGAGGTGTTTATAGATAGACAGCAGGCCAGGGATTTAGCTGAGTGCTGCTGCCACCTGCCTCGAAGGTACAAGGTACCGAGTTCGATCCCTGGTACAAAAAAAAAAAAGCTAGCATCTCACTATGTTGCCCAGACTGGTCCTGAACTCCTGATCTCAAGTGATCCTCTTGTCTCAACCTCCAGAGCTGTGCTGCAAGAATGTGCAACCATGCCCCAGCAGAAAGCAATTTTTTTCTTCTCTCTCTCTCTCTTTTTTTTTTTTTTTTTTTTTTTTTGGTACCAGGGATTGAACTTCCCCGGCCACTTGTTTTTCTTTCTGTTGTGGTACTAGGAGCCTAATCCAGGGTTCAACCTGTACCACTGAGTTATATTCTTCTTTTTGAGATAGGGTCTCACTAAGTTCATGGAACGGACCTCAAATTTGTGATCCTCCAGCCTCAGCTTCCCCAGTAGCAAATTCCCGTGCAAACCATTACAAGAGCTTGCCCTTTCTTTCCTTCTCCCTTCCTTCCTTCCTCTCTCTCTGTCTCTCTTTCTTTCTTTTTTCTTTCAAGAACTGTCCTTGGCAGTAGCTTGATGTGTCAACTCTTACCTCTTATCTGTCCCAAGTTGAATACTGTTCTGTAGATCAATGCAGGTTCTGCACACTTTAGAAAATTATTTGAAGCTCATTACCTGAACATAGACCCTGGAGCTACGTTAGAAGGCTTGGGGTCAAATCCCAGCTGTTACTCACCAGAAGGGCAACAGAAGCCATCTCATCTCTTTGCACCCTATCCCAGAAACAGAGTCCTAATGCATTTGGAGAAGGCAGCAACAGATGTGGGTGAAATTACCAGTCTCTGTCACATGGACCAAAATAAGAACCCAAACTGGGCAGAGTCGTGAACAATTGTAATCTCATACTAGGAAGGCTGAGACAGGAGGATTGCTGTGAGTTCAAGGCTAGCCTGGGCTACATAGTGAGTTCCAGGTCAGTCTCAACTACATAGTGAGACCCTGTCTCAAAAAATCCAAAACAAAACAAAAGAGCCAAACTCTAAAGAGGATGTATCAAATTGGAGACCATGTGGTCCATGTTTGTGTTGCTCTATCTTCCATCAGTTCATAACATCTTTTAAAATCTCTTTTTCGTTGCTTTTTGTTTGTTGGTTGGTTTTGTTTTTTTGAGACAGGGTCTCACTATGTAGTTGAGACTGACCTGGAACTCACTATGTAGCCCAGGCTGGTCTTGAACTCACAGTGATCCTCCTGCCTCAGCCTCCCAAGTGCTGGGATTACAGGTGTGCACCACCACACCCAGCTCTCATAACCTTTCTTTTTTCTTTCATTTTACATTTTTATTTTGAGACAGGGTCTTGCTAAATTGTTAAATTACCCAGGCTGAGCTCAAAATTATGATTCTCCCACCTCCACCTACCAGAATGCTGGGATTACAGGTGTGTGCCACAGTGCCAGGCTAAATAAACATCAGTAGGAGCTTTGTTTACTATAAAGTTTTTTGTTTGTTTATTTTTGTGGTACTGGGAATGGACCCTAGGACTTTCTGAATCCTGGGCAAGCCCCTACAACCAACCTACCCTTTCAGCTCCACTGGAAACATAGAAGTCACTTCTTACCCTAAAGTTCACTTACATTTTTCTCCTAGTCCCTTCCCAGAGTAAAAACTCTGTGGTCTCCTGATGTATAAACCTATGGGCAGATTCACTTTTAAATAATCTAGTCATACTTCCATGGAACTATGATTAAGCGGATATTATTACATAGGTGTTTACTCCCAAGCCAGAATGAAGATATAAACTAGGTGGGTCCCGGGAGAGATGAGAGCATATGGTGGAGCATATGGTGGCCACACTGAACTTAGGGTGTAATTTATATGATGATGATACATAGACCCGTCTGACACTCAGAATTCCCACCTAAGACAGAAAGTTTGGTTCTCTCTTTGTCGTGGTCCTGGTTGAGGGTCACAAGGAGGTGGAAACTTTAGAAAAGTTGGTTTTTAGATTAATCATGAATGTTATGATTTATATCTAGATCCCTCCCCTCAAAAACCCCATGCACTCATGGGAGGGGCTTTTGGAGGATGGTGGGATCATGGATGCACGACACTCATCAGTGGGTTAGTTCACTGATAGGTTTATAGTTAAATGTGATATTGGGAGGTGAAGCCTGGTTGGAGTAGGTGGGTGGCTGGGGTGTGACCTGGAAGGGTCTGTCTCCCTCCCTTCTCCCTTGATCACTCACTGTGTGCTTCCTGCTGCCATTCTCTGAGCTCTTTCTCTGACATGCCACCCTGCCTTTGAGCCACCAACTATGAACAGAAACCTTTACAAACTGTGAGCCAAAATAGATCTTTCCTCCATTAACCTGTGGGTGTAGAGTATTGTCCCAGCAATGAAGAAAAGCTATGACAGTGAGAAATATAAGGTGGTACAACAATGGAATAATTTTCTCTCCATTTTAGATGAACCTTTGGAGACTCAGTTTCTGTCCCCTTGGGCTATTGGGGTGAGTGAACTGCAGTTCATGTCAGCCACTGTTAGGGTGACTGTTCCTGATTTTTCTCTTGGGGCAACAGAACAGAGAAAGTGGACATGTCACCAAACTACCAGGGCCTTCAAACAGGAATTCAGTTTACCCTCAGGAGCAAAGGTTTCCAAATGTCATCTTTGTCTCCTCTTCTGTCTCCTCTTTCTTTACATGCATAACCAATAAAAATCTCTTCCTCCTGGAAAAGTGTTGTTCATTTGAAAAGGCAGCTTTTTTCTCCAGCAGGAAGGGCCAGTTATCTTCACAGTAGTAGAAGCGGAGTTACCACTTAAAAAGGGACTGAGTATAGGAAGCCCCAGGCACTGTGGCCTTTGTACAGGTAATTAGACCCTGAAGGGCAATGCCTTCTGTGCCCATCTGGCCTGGTAAGGCACTGTACTTGGGGACAGGCACTGTTTGGCCCGCTGTATTCCCAGGCAGGGCTCTTTCCTGTATTGTTTTGTTTTGGTTTCACTTATTGGGTCACAGGAAGGAAAATTCAGAGGCACCTTCAGCAAGCAGACGGACTTGTTTATTAGGCAAAGATCATGGAGAACATCCATTCTAGGAGCTGGAGAAATGCAGTGGAACTAGAAAGCATGAGACTGGACACATGTGCAAACTCTCAGCAGGACAGTCTGGGTGTTTACAGGAAAGTGCTTGGAGACAAACGCAAAGGGGCACAAGGATGCAGCCATGCTGAGCACAGCGAGGTCACATTTAGGGGATCCCAAGGAGCAGCACAGAAAAGTGGGATGGGGGAGCAGTGAAGGGGACACTGTGTGGAAATGAGGGTGGGGCAGGTGAAGCTAATGGAAGGGATGTACGACAGGTTCAGATGTTGGGACCCGGGCAAGGGGACATGAGACCATGATAGATGATAAGGTGATATCATGGCAGGAAGCTAGACAGGAAAAAATATTCTGCAATGTGAGCTGGATTGATCTCTAGGCAAAGGAAAGACAGGAGGGTCTAGCCAGAGAGCAGGCCTGAGGTCTGGTTGTGCACACAACCTGCCGGTTTCAGCCATGCTTCTGTCCTCTGTCATCCAGCCTCCAGCTCTGTTCATCTCAGTTTTCTATTCACTCATTCAATCTCTGTCCTGTAGAACTTGGAAAACTGGAGACACAGAGACACAGGCACCTAAGCCCTGAGCTGTCCTTTGCGCTTGCTCAGGTCCTTCCCTGTAGGTTCTGATCTGAAGGGATAGAAGGTACTGGAAGTAGTTTAGAAGTCACTTCTTCAAAATATTGGTAAAGAATCGGATTAGGAAGATTGCCCTACTCCCTACCCTCTAGCAGTGGCAGCACCACCTTCCAAGACAATCACAACCCTCCAGGAGAAACAGGGACAAGGGAAGCTGGCTGTTGAAGTCTTAAGGGGTAATGGAGAGGGTGAGAGCAAAGGAAGTCAGTCAGCTGGGAGGTTCCTTAAGGGGCCCCTTGGCTGATCTGCAGAGGGATTAGTTTATAGTGGAGAGTGTCTGCATCCCCAGAGGCAGATTCCTCCCCCAAGGGGGACAATGGGATGTCCTTAGAGAGAGCCTGGGCATCAGCAACAACTTTGACCTCTTCAGGCCCATCAGCCACTGAGCAGATGGTCAAGGGCTTTTTACCACAGGACCAGAGGCAAAAGAAGGGCCGGAGGGGGCCAGAGAAAGAGATGCTGGAGAAAGTATAGATGTGGGAGCCATTGGTCATGTTGAAGAAGGAGATGTCTCCAGAGTCATAGTCCAGAAAAATACCAACACGATGAAGGGGTCCTGCTAATGAGAGAGGGGTCCGGACCTGGGTAAGGGCCCAGTATCCATTTCCATACAACTCCACAGCCCAGAACCCATTCTCAGGAGTCAGGGGGTCAAACCCTTTCTTTATCACATCCTCCTTGCACACCCCAACTACCCAGTCAGTTCTGTCTCCCACCTCCACCTCCCAGTAGTGTCTTCCAGAGGTGAAGGCCTCCCGGCCTAACACACAAGGCCACGAGTCAAATCTCTCTGCCTTTTCAGGTAGTTTCTGACGTGAATCTTCCAGTCGAACAGATTTTGAATCCGCATACAGAAAAAGGTGGGGGTGGGCAGTGTCAGGATCCAGAGTCACATCCACTGGAGACGGACACAGAGAGTGATTATCATAAATGTTGGAGGTTACAGGACCTGTCTTTCTGCATTCTCTATGAACTAGAAGTGGACACAGCCCCCCCCCCCAGGAAGAACAGCCAGGCCTCTCCACAGTCTTCAGCCCCTGTATCTCCTCCCTCTCCAGTAGGCACAGGTAATATAGGAGCTGTTTGTCCCTAATGGGACCATGGCAGATGGGGCTTGTCTCCTAGCCATCTCCCAGGGTCTCTCTAGGTGCCTCCAGTCCTGTCCTCCTCACTAAAGTGCATTAGTGTCCCTATGACCCAGTTTTACAGGACAGTGAGCCCAGGTGTGGGGGTGAGATGGGGATGGGAAGGCTGCAGAGGTCTTGGAAGTTCAGAGCCACTGACCTGCATGCAATGAAGCCTTTTTCAATTCTGCAATGAAAGAGAGAGAGTGGGGGGGAGATTGTCAGGCACAGGTTACAAAATAAGAGACAGAAAACCTTGTGGATGAAATAATGACAAGACAGAACTTACTGAATTCTTCCAGGAGTTTCTCTGGAAAACAAACAAAATTACCTCAGTAGCTTTTTATAATGGACCTGAAGGAGGGGATGAGACTGGAGTGGTAAACACATAAAGGAGGAACTGTTTAGTTCATGACTACCTGATTACTGAAATGTTTCCAGGAAATCAAGAACAGGATTTCGTTTTGTTTTCTAAGAAATATTCAGGAAGTTCCTACTGGCTGGGGATGGGGTGGGGATCAGATCTTTAATAATAGGATTGTTACTGAAAACTTGAGTTACAAGTGGGGGTAGGATCTGAGGGTGGACAGTAAATAAATTCTAGGTCTAAAACTTGTTGCTTCTGCCTGTGCCCTAAATCTCTCACCATATGCAGTGTCTGATTTCAGAAGCCTATTGCTTCTTTCTGTCTGAACTCTAGAATTGAAGATCTTCCTGCTGGAAGGCATGCTAACTGGCACAGATCCAACCTCCCTCTGACACTTCTGACAGGTGTCCTTGTGTATTCTGTGACTTACCTTTGGAGCTGAATTCACTCTTCCTCTCTCTGAATCTGTCTTTGTATAGTCTCCAAATGAAGACTATGGACCCAATGGTGAGAAGTCCTAAGACCGTTAGGATGACAGCCACAGCCACCTGCCAGGGAGTCAGCCTTGGGACGAAGGGAGCTAAAACAAAGTCCCCATGAAGGACATGGGTTGGTAAACTCAGAACAAGCCCAGCTTCTCTCCTTTTGCCCAGGGAGGGTAGAAGGGGAATCATCTAGGATACTTCCATCCCTCCCATGGCAAAAAAAATCATCCCTCCAACACCATGCTAAGCTTTTCAGAAATATTTGATCTTAAGCAAGAGCAGAGAAAGAAAAAAAAAGTGAAGACTTGTTTGGGAATGGGACACATAAAATAAAAGATATAAAGGACAAGTTCATTTTATCAAAGATAATTCCCCCCTTTTTTTGGTAGCAGGGATCGAACTCAGGTCTTTGTGCTTGAGAGGTAGGTGATAGAACCACTGAGCTAAATCCCCAACTCTAGAAACCCCTTCTTAATGATCAGTACAGAATGGAAGGAAGCCCAGGCAATGAGGGAGATAATTAAGGAGGAGGAAACATCACCCTTGTGTAACAGAAAGGGATTTGTTGGCCCCAAATAAGGACAGATTCTGGTCTAAACCAGAGGTCATGTATTAAGGAAATGAGAAGATTTGGTTCCCTTAGGATTCTGGAGATCTAGAACCAGCTTTATATGGGATAAGGAGGCCCAAATTAGAATTCAGTCTTCTTACTTACTCAGAGAAAAGGACCTAGATCAAGAACGCCCCAGTACAGAGCTTCTCTACTTCAGATTCCACATATAAATTTCTATGAGAGCTAGATAGAGTTTATGCTTTATGCGCTGAAAATTTTTTCTTTTTTTTTTTTTTTGGTAGTGGTGGTGGTGCTAGAGATCTAACTTGGGCCAGGCAGGCCAGGCACATGCTAAGCAAGTACTGTCCCATGAGCTATACACTCAGCCTGAGAATCTTTATCTGTCTAATGAAGTTGAGAGTCCTTCAAGTCACTGAGCAAATGCTTAAACAGGAAAAGTAGACAACTCTGTCAGGAAGTCACACCCGAGCAGGCAACCCGGGTGCTGTGGCCCTGAAGCTGTGTCAACACAGGAGGCAGCCCTGCCCCACTCACCTGATATGGAAATCCCTACTTCCTTCTGCTGGCCAAGGAGCAGGTTGTGGATGCAGCAGGACACATTCTCCAGGGAGGTGTCTCTGATGATCACTGAAGCTGCCACAGTGAAAAGACCCTCTTGATCAGGACTCCTGGACTCAAATGTGGACAAAAACTTCTCCCCTGCACGAGTTGTCCACTGCACCTGGGGCTCTGGGTACCACCCCACAGAGGTACACTCCAGCCGGATCTCTCCATTTTCCTGAACCTCCATGCCGATGTGAGGGTCAGAGCCCAGGGCTGTGGAGAGAGAGGTGGCCTTAATGTTTCAGTGGTTACCCTCCTGGAAGCCTTATAATGAGAGAGGGGGTGCGGAATGGAAAAGTGGACTTGGACTGGGAGGGATGCCTGCCCATATTTCATTACACAAGGAAACAGAGGAACTTTCAGTGAAAGGAATTTCATATGCCTTATCAGTGAGGGGTGCATTGCTGGATCCAGCCTTTGAAACGTGGGCAGCCATAAGACCACTTGTCCAATCAGCAAGAACAGCAAGATAATGACTTAGAGGCAGGTTAGGGGTCTAGGCTGGGAGCTCCAGAACAGAGAAAGAGATCTGTGGTTGGATTATTACAAGGTGGCTTTGGGAAGGAGAACTGGAATTGGAATATTTAAAGATAGATGGAGGAATATTCTTGAGAAAAAGGAGAGCTGAAAGTTCTTTTCCAGGAGATTGTTGATAATTTAAGTTTTCTTCACCCACAATGCTGATTCAGCAATTTCTTAAATGGTATCAACCTCATTTTCCCTGTACAATTCCCATGCCCTAACAAAAATCAGTCCAAGGCTGGGGATGTAGCTCTGTGGCACTGTCCTGAGTTTGTTCCCTGGTACTGAAAAAAAAAAAAAAAATCAATCCAAAGCTGCTTTTCTGGCCTGTCAAAGTAATTCCTTTTAAAAAATTTTTATAATTATATAAGTGTGGAAAACACTGACTCACGTGGAAAAGTGCATAAACACGTCTACAACTATCCATATTTCAAGTTTGTGTAGATAAATGAGAATGTATATCCTTCTCATGAAAAGAGCTACCACTTTCATCAGATTCTCAAAGGTTTCTGTCACTCATAAAATGTAACAACAGTTTTATGCTATCAAATACCTATGCTTTTATAATCAATCTTTAAACTTTAAGCTACTCTTTCCTAAAAATGAAGTGAGAATTTTTATGATACTTTTCAATATGGTATATGATATATGTATATTTAAATTTTAAGATTAGTCTATGACATAGTAACAGTATCATAAATATATAAGTGCCTTTAGAATCGACAAGGCAGTTTTTCATGTGATGTCTAATTTTATTTCATTTTTGCAAAATCTTACTGGAGAAATGTTTCCCCAGTTTTATAGTGGGGGTTAGCTCAGCAGATTTGCCTGATGTCAATCACTAGTAAGTGGGAAAGTCAAAGTTCAATTTGTACTTCTTTTCAGAATGCTAGCCATTTTCCCTGTTTCATCCTAAAATTTGCCTTGAAGCAAGAAAATAAAGTAGTATCTTTTTTAGGTGGATCAAAATTGTTAGCAAAGGGCTGTGCTCTCTGATCTTAAAAAATCAGTCCTTAGAGACTGATAAAGTGATTTCAAGGTGCATGGGGTGCACAGCACAGCATCAATAACAGACAGAACTGGGCCAGGGATTTAGTTTAGTGGTTCCACCTCCTGCCTCGCAAGCTCAAGGTCCGGAATTCGACTCCTGCCCCGTACCCACCAAAAAAAAAAGAACTTAAATGTCATTTTGGGAGCTGATTGAATAAATTATGGTATAGTTATGTAAAATAATGTCATATACCTATTGATTGCATTATACATATAATTAATTTCACAGGGGCTATAGCCTATCACTGAGGGGAAAGAGATAACTGAAATAAAGTTCCTTCCATAGCAAATTTTCACTTTGCTTTGAAAAGCACCCTTCTCATCTCAAAGCTTCCCACTTAACTTCAGTCTAGAAGGGATTCTAAGAGTGAATCTTAATGGTTTCCAAAGTAACCTACTCAGCCAGCCTGGGTCCCCGCGGAGAAAGCCAAAACCCTCCAGACTCCTTACCAGCCACTCGGAGGCGCACGATGGCCTCCCCGGAGCTCGCATTGTCCCGGAAGAGGCATCTGTAGTCTCCTTCGTCCGCCGCCCTGGCGGGCCCGATCACATCGAAGAGAGCTGCGGGATAAACCGAGGGAGGGTGGGGGCAGGCACCGGCCAGGCTCCCGCCCGCGCAGGTCCCTCCCCAGGGCCTTCCTGGGACAACCCAGGAGACCCTCGAGACCCCAGCAGACGGAGGTCATCTGAGGGAACAGCACGGGTTCATTTGCTTTCACCGCAACATTTCCATCCCACAGAACCAGAGGGGTGCGAGAAAGCTGCGGGATAAACCGAGGGAGGGTGGGGGCAGGCACCGGCCAGGCTCCCGCCCGCGCAGGTCCCTCCCCAGGGCCTTCCTGGGACAACCCAGGAGACCCTCGAGACCCCAGCAGACGGAGGTCATCTGAGGGAACAGCACGGGTTCATTTGCTTTCACCGCAACATTTCCATCCCACAGAACCAGAGGGGTGCGAGAAGGGCACCAACCTGAGCCCAGCACCTGCAGCTGCTGGAGCGCGAGCGAGAGCAGGAGCGCGGGGAGCCCGGGCCTCAGCATCTCCGAGCTCGGGGGTGTGGGAGCCTGGTCCTGGGAGCGAACGAGGGGAAGTTAGCGAGGCTGGGGTGCTCCGCGCTCCCCGGACCTCCACCAGGCCTCTGCATAGGCACCCGAAGCCTCTAGGTGCCCCCTTTCCAGGGTATTCTCAGCCCGAGCCCTGTTTGCTCAGGCACCTGCAAAACAAAGTGCCCCTACAGCCCCAGATGGATTTAGTCTCAAGAAAGACACTTTGAGGCCGAGTGCCTTCTTGTACGTTACGTATAAATGAACGAATCTTGCAATCACTGCACCAAACTGAAAACATTATGATAGAATAATGTATTTGCTTTTAGAAATGATAACGATAAGGCCAGAGAAGCAGACGCTGGACACAAGTGAAATAAAATGGAGGAGAAAAGAGAAAAAATTCGAGAAGATGGGTAAGAAGGGGGGCTGAATAGAGGCAAGGAGTTTGAAGAAAGAGGGCCCAAAAGGAGGGAGGACAGAGCGACAAAGTGGCAGCACCTACTGCCCTCGAGGGTCTAGTAGTGGAGGAAAAGACACCAGGAACTGCCACAGAGTGAAAAAGCAGGTTGTGGCCCCTGGGGCAAAAGTTAAAAGCCAGCAGCAGAAGGAAAAGGGAAGTCCTCTTCTGAAAGCCTGCCTCCAAGGGGCCTGGTGTGCTTATTTTTTGAGGGGAAAAAAGAAAGGTGCCCAGAGAGATGGAGAGCTAGGGAGTTGTGGGCTAAAGGGAAATAGAGATGAAAAGTGAGAGAGCCAGGAAAAAACTGAGATATGAGGGCTTCAGTCAATTAATTCACCTCTACAAGCCTTGGTCCTTTTGTTTTAGAAATGAAACCAGGTGTGGTACCTGCCTCTCATCCCAACATTCTGGATGGCTGAGGCAGGAGGACTTCAGGTTGGAGTCCAGCCTGAGCGATTTAAATATTCAGCCAGATCTTGGCTCAAAGTAAAAAGGGCTGGGATATAAGCTCAACCCAAAGGTCCTGAGTTCCCCAGTACCAAAAAGGTAGCAGGGGGTTGGTGGTGGCCAATGCTCCCACTTGGGGGCTGAAGCAGAGCCTGAGGCCAGCCTGGGCTGCAGAGTTCAAGGCCAGCCTATATAAGAAGACTCTATCCAAAACAAGTAAACAAAAAGACAAAGGAATCCTCCTCACACCCCAGTTTTGATCCCCAGCATTTCTACAATACCTGCAACAAAAACAAAGGAATAATGTTTTTGGTACCTTCCTGGGGATGTGTTGGGAGAATGAAATAAGATTAAGCAGATAAAGTGCTTACCACCTCATAACAGAGGCCCAGAAAAAAAGAAGTTGTTATTTTATTATTACTGTATTTGTGTGGGTTGAAAAACAAAAGGACAGAGCCTGGGCAGCGGCAGACTCCTGTTCGCTGTGGCAACCCTTTCCTCCTAGGAAGAAGAGGACATTGAGGGGATTCCACATCTTTTAAGAAGGTGGATGAAGCAGGAGGTCAAGAGGAGAGACTCAGTTCCCAGAGCCCAGAATTGCCTCCCTGAGGATGTCTCTTTACGTAGACTCTCCATCCCCCACTGCAAGGTGCTGTGGATGGAGCACCTGGGCTCAGGCATGAGACAGGCAAGGGCTGTACCACTGAGCTATAGCTACCGCCCAGCCTAAGCCCCAAGGAGAGTTCTCAGAGCAACTCATGTGGCAGGCAATTCTTCATTTTAGGATAAAGCTCTAAATGTTATGGGAAAAAAAATCAATAAAATACAGAAAAATATTTTTAACAATAGTGCCATGTTGGCATGTCTTTCCAGTGGTTTTTTTAATGCTTAACATCACAGAAACAATAAGGGCTTCTTGCCCTGAATAGTTGCATAACTGCCCAAATCGTGAGTTTGTCCTTTTTTCTGACATAAAGAATGCGCATTAAAAAATAAAATAAAACAGGGCTGGGGAATTAGCTCAGCAGTTTGGTGGCCTGCCTTGCAAGTGCAAGGACCCGAGTTCGATTCCCATGTACCAAAAAAACAAAATAAAAATAAATAAATAAAAGATAAAATAAAAGAATGCACATTATACATATTTTTGTTCCTGATCAACTGTTTGGTAAATTTCCAGAAGCAGAGCCATTGGGTCACAGGGTATGAGCTCACTGCCAACGACCTTTGTGACGCTCATGTTCTGCTCACCCAAACCCTGTTCACTGAATCCCTCCAGCAACAGTGCACTATTTAAAAAAAAAATTCTTAGTATGGGAATGTGTAAAAGTTATCAAATTACTACAGTATTTTGCTGTTTTCTGTGATAATGAGGCTTCCATTTTTCACATTAATTGACTAATATATTCTAGAAATGAGCTTCAGCCTAGTTTGCCCTCTGTGTTTGAGATCGGTCCTGATACTTTTTGTTTTTTTTATAAATTTTTTTTATTTTTTTTTTTTTTTTTTTTTTTTTTGAGAAAGGGTCTCACTATGTAGTTGATACTGACCTGGAACTCACTAGGTAGCCCAGGCTGGTCTCGAACTCAACTTGATCCTCCTGCCTCAGCCTCCTGAGTGCTGGGATTACAGGCATGTGCCACCACACCCAGCTCTGTATGAAGTTTTTCGAAATGAAAAATAACAAGTCTGTACTATATTTATGACAAAGGTCTGTCCCATTTTATAATTGTCCTTTTAATAGCATTATGACTATGACCCATGAGACTGCCAGGAAAGTGATTGTTCCCAAACACAAATCTCATTGTGTCACTCTTCACCTAAAAATCCCTAAATATAGAAATGTTCTTCAGAAATACCATGTTTATTTTATTCATGCTTAGAGGAAATGTACATCATTATAAAAAAACTGTGATCTTTAATCTGAATTTATGCATCATCACTTTTGGTTAATTTGTGTTTAGAATCAATTTAAATATCCTATCTTGGTTTATCACACTAAGGAAAGTATAAAAATATTACCAGTTACTAAATAATCAGGAATGGCTTGTGTGTGTATGTAGGTTTTCGTTAATTGGGACTTGGTGAATAACCACGAGCAAGACTAAATTGCTGGGTCTGGGATGTAGCTCGGTGGAGCCATTCCTGCCTGGCAAGTGTAAGGTCCTGAGTTTGATTCCCAGTGTGGGGGAAAAAAAGTCTATACTCCATAAGAAGAGGATATCATTAAGATGACTGTTCAGAGAATTTTAGGGAAAGCTAAACTTATTTTTGCATTCTTTTAATATATATGTATGTGGCCAAAATATGAAGAGCTATAAAATTTGAGACCTGCAATAGTTATTCAACTAAACATGACTAGTAAGCAGTGTTCCTTATTTTCTTTCTACATTTGGATCTATATAAATGAACAATATATGCCAATGATAAACAATGAAAAGGAATCCTGTTATCTCTTATCCCAGTATCAAGTTCAGGCATGCTAATCTCATCAATAAATTGCAGTAGGTCTTGCTTAATTCAGTGAAGAAAATGCTCTGGACCACCTCTCCCAATTCCTTTTTTGGGAGCAGCCTTGGTGAAGCAACTTTCAGGAAGAGCTCCCCTATTCCAAGTCTGCTCCTCCTTGGAGACCCTGGAGTTGTGGAATGTGCTGCCTTCTGTTTACCACACAGTTAAATTTCTCAGTGTCAAATCTTAGGGCTGCAAAGGTCCTCCCACCCTTATCTTACTTGACATTGTCAACATTTTTCTCAGGTAGCTACTTGTGGCTGTTCTTTTTGAGTGTGTGTAGTTTTAATTGTCAAAGTTAGTTTTTTTTTTTTTTTTTTTTTTTGTTTTTTTTTTTTTTTTTTTTTTAGTTTTGAGGAGTGTTTAGATTGGCCTTGAACTCAGAGATCCTTCTGCCTCAGCCTCCTAGGTGCTGGGATTACAGGTTTGTGCCACCATGCTTGGCCTCAGAGTGTTTTATTTTTATTATTATTTTTTTCTGGTGGTGGTACAGGGGATTGAGCTATATGTCCTGCTTATTTATTTTAAAATTTGAGACAGCATCTTACTAAATCATTAAATTACCCAGGGCTTGAATTTACCATCCCCCTGCTTCAGATTACCAAAATGCTGGGATTACAAATGTGTGCCATTGAGCCCCACTTAAAAGTTTTTTTTCCCCCTTAGTACCAGGGATTGAACTCAGGACCTTGCACTTGCAAGCAGGTGCAGTCAGTGCCACTGAGCAAAATCTCTAGCTCCTAGGTAAAGAGTTTTTAAAACCAGATAGCATAAATTGATTTAAAGAAAATTGTTAGGCTCACTTCCAACCTTACTGGTGTCTTCCTCCCCAAGAATAGACTCCACCAGGCATGGTGGTGCACACCTGCAATCTTAGCACTTGGGAGGCTAAGGATCCTAAGGAGGATCTTGAGTTTGAGGCCAGCCTGGGCTACAAAGCAAGTTCAAATCTAGCCTGTTACGCATCAAACTGTTTCAGAAACAACAAAGCAAAGCAAAACAAAAGAAATAGGGTATGTAGGTTAGCTGAGAGCGCTTGTACGTATCTGTAATACTCACACTCAGGAGGCTGAGGCAGGAGGATCACAAATTTGAGGCCATCCTGGGCCTCAACACAGTGAGACCCTGTCTTAAAAAAGCAAAAGTAAATATTTTGTTTTTTTTTTTTTTTTACTTGTTTTATCTGCTATTGATATTTAATGTCTTATCTACGTTTCTGAACACAAAGACTTAATTATGCTGCTTTTTTTTATGAATCTATTTTTGGAAATTGCTTTAAGGCTCTATTGTGATCAAGGGGTGATTTGGCTCTCTCTTACCAGCAATAGCAACATATTCCTCCCAGAGCACTTGAGTTACTTAGAAATAGAATCCTATTTAGGAGGCATGGAGTGCAGACAGGATCCTCCCTACTGGATGCTGCCAGCCAAAGACAGGTTGTGTAGTATATGAATGTGTGTATGTGCGTGAACGCTCAAATGGGTGTGCTGAGGATGGAACCCCTGGCCTTGTGCACAGGAAGCACAAGTCCTGATGCTGACTATTCGTCCTCTAGGGCTTTTCTCTTTATTTAGAAGGTTTGGTTGGAGAAGCAGCTGCTGGCTTTGCAGGAACTATGGAGAAGTCTCTGGATGATGGTTCTGCTCAGAGCCAAGAGGAAGGACTGGCGTGAGTGGACGCTGGCCAGGGCTGCAGTTTTCTGTGGTTGTAGTTTCTCTGAGCTGGTTTTGCTGGGACATCCATGATTGACATGAAGGTAATAACTGGGTGTGACCTAATGACATTTTGATATTATAATACCAAAATAATCCCCCATATACCAGGGCCATGTTAAAGTCAGGCACTTATAACACAACAATTTGTGTATGTGATGTGTGGGTGGAAAAGATGAGGAGACAGTACGAGAAGGAGATGGTGGATTTCTATGAGGAAGAGAGGTCAGCAGGGATGGGGCAAGAAGTTAAAATCTGAGTTGTCTTCTTAGAAATACTTTTGAAATGGACAATTCCCAGAACAAAGTGGTAGCCTGGGAATTCACCAGTGCCAGTAAAGTGAGGTTGGGTTGAGCAAAGTAGAACAGGAGAATTTTGGGAAGGATGGGGTTGTGGGACCGCTGATGTCCCTTGGTACTCCTGCTGTTCCCAGCCATTCCTCCTCCTGTGTTCGGTGGCACTGTCCTTTCAGAGCACAGCTGCCTTCTCTCTATGGAGTCAGGCTGTGGACAATGTGGCGATGCAGAACTTGGACCCTGGAGCAGCAGCCTGGATATTCTTGACTGGCTGTCACTCTCCTCTCCCTTAGTTGGGCTTCCCCCCAAAACAGATCCTGAGACAAAGATTTGGGGACCCTTGACTTACAAATTCAATTCATTCCCAAGGCCTAGTTGTAACTCAAGTTAGTCAACTGAAGGCTTAGACTCCTCTACACATTCAAATTCTCTCTCCTGTATACAGACAGATCTCAGTGTCCTTAGAGACACTGGCCTGGGATTTCTCAACCAACCCCATGCAGGAAAGGACGCTGCAATGTTCCTTTCAGAACCCTTAAGGGTCAATTCTGTATCTGAGATCATCTGGAAGCAGAAGCATCTGACATTTGGGTCATAACTCAAGTTTGGTCATAAATTAAAACTAAAATTCCAGTCATAACCCAAGTTGTTCATATGTCAGACTGGTCTTAGCTCAAGGGTCCACTGTAATTTACTTGGGATGTGGTCGTAGAAAACACTATAAGGAAATGTGGCAGGAATAACTAATAATAAAGGGAGTATTTTTACCTGGGCAGCTTTCCTGGGCTCAGTCTTCCTGGGAACTCTGAGTGATTTGCGGAACTAGAAACTCCAGCCTCAGAACTGTCACTGAGGAGAAACAAAGCTGAAACACAATCTCTTAAAGAGATCAGGAAGCTGTCAGTATATTGGGAACTATCTACTGGCAAGGATGAGGGAGGAGAGAGGAAAGGAGAGAAGGAAGAGGAGGACAAAAGGAAGGAGAGGGGAAAGTAGAGGAAGAGATTTAAAAGAGAGAGAGAAAGGGGAATACAGAGATCAAATGCTGTGAGATTCAGAAAACAACTCTCTATGGAAATGGGAAACTTTGTAGAAACAAACAGATATTCTCAGACTCTCTAGCCTGTTACTAGTCTCCAATACCACCCATCTCTTCACCACCCCCAGGTCCACTCAGTGTCTGACTCCCTTCCTCCCAATCAGCCATAGTCTCAGCTGTGTCTGTAAGGGACCTGGGGAAGGAGCAAGAGGTGAGCCAGGCTTGAGGTCAATTTCCAAAAGAGCTACTGTCACCCAAGAAAAAATCTGGAACATTAGCACCCTCTCTTTCATGCTCATCACTAAAAAGCTATCAAATTCATTTTCATGTCTCCTAGAGCTTTGAAATACTGAGCAGAACCCTGGAGATGTAAAGAGGAGCTAGTGTGTACACAACTGTATCTTTCCCATTCCACAGTAACAGAAAGGTTTGTAAGAGGGTTGTGTGTGGAGCAATGGAGAAAAAAAAAAAAATTCAATTTCCCAAGCCCTTGTATGAGTTTCTTTGGAAAATGAACAAAATCAAACCAATTACTATCGGGAGCCGTTCTACATAATTTGGATGAAAAATCATTTCACAATTAAATTATGATTAGGCCCAGTCTTCTTGCCTACAGGCTGGCTGTGATATGACGAAACATTAACTCCATTTTTGCCTCCGGACACAGCTGAGATCTCAATGGTTCTGTGATACTGTGACACTCCACGGCAAGATTACATTGGTTGAAGACATCCTGGTTCCTTGAAAACCAAGTAGTAAGCGAAAGGTTTCCCTGGAGAGAGACAAATTCTTTATTAGCTTAACTCATTCCATCTACTGTTGTACGACCCTCTTTGCTCATTTTAGAGTCGTAATCAATTTAAGCTTCTCATTGACCTGAGATCCTCATCAGCCTAAATCCTTATCAATTTAGGATTGCCACCACCCACCAAAACATCTGATACTTCCTCTGATTATACTATCCTCATGGTCCTAGGATTATCGTCACCCTCTGAGTCATCTGTTACTCCCTACGAACCCAATAAATGGTTGCAAACTCAGTGTTTCTTCCTCTTTTCTGCCTAGAGTAGCATCGATCAGACCTAGAACTCAGCTTCTTCTCTGAGTCTCATTTCCTGTCTTTCTTCTCTAATTTGCTTTGTGCTGGCTCACTAGAGACCAGGACCCACTGCAGGGGTTCTGATAACATCCCCTTTCCTTGTTCCCTACAAATTATCATCTGCGGTAGAGATATGGGAAGGAAGACGGAACACATATATACAATGTACAATAAAACCATTGTTTCCCTTCTGCGAATATCTGATTACTGGAATATTATCAATAAGTCATGAACATGCTTTAGTTTTTGTTCTTAGAAATTTGTGGAAAGTTCCTTCTGGCTTTAGATGCTGAGAGATCTTGCTGTACTTGGGAAATGGAAATCTAGGGCCAATGTGTAACTGGTTCCCTTCTGGATTGCTGCCAAAGGCCATGCCAAGGCCTTGTCAGCCACAGCCAACTGCTATCCAGCCGGCTGTTTATGGTACTTAGGGTTAGGGCACTTGTTATTGAAGCAGGGAGCCCATATGGACATGCAGGAAGAATTTGTTACGGGATTTGGGTTTGTGTTAGGGGAACTGGGGAGGTTAAAAAAAACCTGCTTTGTTTTTATAAACACAGGGTCTTGGTATATCGTCCAGATTGGCCTTGAACTTGTGGTGATCCTCCTGCTTCAGCCTCTCCAGTGCTGGGATTACATGAACACACCATCAGGACTGGTTCATCTGTTGATTTACCTTTCCCTCAGAACTTGTGATTCTCTCTTCAAGCACAGCAGTATGTCCTGGTTCCCTCACCCTAGCCCCACTACATAAACACAGGGTCTTGGTATATCGTCCAGATTGGCCTTGAACTTGTGGTGATCCTCCTGCTTCAGCCTCTCCAGTGCTGGGATTACATGAACACACCATCAGGACTGGTTCATCTGTTGATTTACCTTTCCCTCAGAACTTGTGATTCTCTCTTCAAGCACAGCAGTATGTCCTGGTTCCCTCACCCTAGCCCCACTACACTTAGGGCCAACTGAAGCACCAGGCTGAAAGTATCATCTGGCTGATATTAGAGTGATAGATTTCCTCTTCTTTGCAAGACTAGGGATTGAACTCAGGGCTTTCCCAGAGCTACACCCTCAGGTCCTTTTTGAGAAAGGGTCTTGCTAAGTTGTTCAGGCTGTTTGAATTTGAGTATCCAAATGCTGGGTTTACAGGCTTCTCTACTGTATTTAGTTTTATAGCACTACATTTGCTTGTTTGTTTTGCTTTTTTGCTTGGTTTTGAGACAAGGTCTCACTATGTAGTTGAGGCTGGTCTTGAACTCATTATATATCAACCAAGCCGTTGCTTTAGTAACTCATTAGTTGATAACCAAAGACTGGCAGGGTTGTCTCAGGGAAGGCATGGCTGCCATGTATCTTAATTCTTAGTCAAAGAGCAAAGTAGGAGAAAATGTCCTGCTGCAAACCTATCTTTTTATACCAGTGTGGTGGCACATGCTATAATCTCAGCACTTGGGAGGCTAAGGCAGGAAGAATGAAAGTTCAAGCCCAGCCTGGGCAATTCAGCTAGAATTCATCTCAGAAAGTACTGGAGATATAGCTCAGTGCAAAGGCCCTAGGTTCGATCCCTGTATGTGAGAACTAAACCAATGGGACAACTTTCAGGATTTCCCTCAATATCCTTCTTACAACTCTGGCTCCAGACCAGTTTACTCTGTTCTTGTTCTATCCTGCAGTTTCCCCAGTGCCTGGTGAATGGCTGAGATACTGGTTTAGTTCCAGTTCAGTCACTGTGCATCTATGATTAAGCCTATTTACTTTTATCTCTAAAAGTTGATGTTTGAGCTTATGGAATTCAGGCATTAGGCAGAGTCATGTTTCTGCAATAACCCAATATAAATTTTCCTGAAAAAACCCAAACCAACCTGTATTCTAAATCACATAACAAAACACCATATCTTATGGAAAAAACAGAGCTAGGCACGGGCAACTAAAAGACTCATGGATATTTATTTCCAGAATACTAACAAAAATACGCTGATGAGTATAGCTTGATAGAAATGTAACAGGTTTTTGATGACTTATGGGAACAAAGCAGTAGCATACTAATAAATTACACACACACACACACACACACACACACAGGAAAAAAAAAGACTTAGTTTATATTATTTGGCAACACCTGCTCCAAATGATTTCTCCCATTGTCCTAAACTGGCCATGAACCTGCTCTAGCATACCAGCAGGAATAGGGGCTGAGTGATAACACTGTATATAAGAAGCTAAATAAATCTGGAGACACTGCAATCTCTGTATGGAATGTAACACACAAACTACTGCCTGGCTTTGCGGTCTTGGGTTTATTTAATTTCTTTTCTTTTTTTTTATTTTTTTTTTTTTTTTTTTTTTTTTTTTTTTTGGACACAGGGTCTTGCTATGTAGTTTAAACTGACCTCAGTCTCCAGAGTGGTGGTATTACAGACATGCCCCACCACACTGGGCTTTTTTGAGACAGGGTCTCAGTATGTAGTTCAGGCTGGCCTTGAACTCTCAGTGATCCTCCTGCCTCCGCTCTCCAGTGCTGGGCTTACTGGTTTTCACTACCACACCAGGCTTTCTTAGGTTTATTTCAAAGTGCCCAGCTGGCCAAGAGAAAGAGGATGGAGTGAAAGGCATCAGGTCTGCTAATGTATTCCTCTGGGGTGCCTATGCTCAGCTCTTGATGCCGTATGCACTCAATCCTATCTTCCTCAGTGGGATAAAATACGATATGGAAAACACTAAGTAAAAGGGACACTGATTCTAGGACTTACAAAAGGCTCAAGAGCCAGTTCACATTACAGCCTGAACAGCACAGACTTAACCGTAAAGGGTGGTTGCTGTAGGTGTGGAGATGTAGGGGGACTGGCATGTGAAGGGACAGTATGGAGACTGCGTGAGGGTGAAGGCTCCTCATGTCTAGGGAGCAGGCAGCTAAGCCTCTAAGTGGGGAAAACATTCATAATCCTGAAAATGTCTTTCAAGCAGAGTTAATAAATGCATAAGGGAAGTAAAGAAACTTCTCTGAGCTAATGAATTGGGTCTGATCAAGACCTGGGAAAAAGTTGGGGAGGGAGAGGAGGAGGAGGAGGAAGGGATTAGGGCTGGATATAAACTGGGAACACTACTTTGGGACTTTACCCAAAATCTCTCCAATACTGTCACATAGAAAGCTACAGTCCCTTCACTTTACTCTTCTTTACATACATCATGCAAAGTATACCGCTTCACATCATCTCTGGTCTGTACACCAAGTTGTTTCCTGCCACACTCTTTCTAACTCATTAGTCATTTGTACCTGGATGTGGTGGCGCATGCCTGTAATCCCAGGACTCAGGATGCTGAGGCAGGAGGATCTCTGTGAGTTTGAGACCAGTCTCAGCTACATAGTGAGTTCCAGGTCAGTCTCAACTACATAGTGAGACCCTGTCTCAAACAAAACAAAAGGCTAAAATTAACATAATTGATAGACAGGTGCAACAGTATTATAGGGAGCTAAGTTAAATAGAAATTAATAAGCACTCACATAGGGATTGACCCACGTTGTACCCACCTTATTAGTTTGCTTTATAAAATATTCTTTGGAGAAATGCCCTTGGTGGCAACCCACTTTTGGGACAGCCACACCCCCTTCTGCCCCACTGCATCTCTCAGGAGCTCTCAATAAATCTTTCCTACTTTTAACCTCTGTCATTTCTTGGAATTCATTCTTTGATTTCGGGAGACAAAAACTTGGCACATCTGACATCTAGCAGATTGGGAGTTATATTTTCCTATATCAACAGCAGAATGAAAATTGAAGAGGAAGAATAAGGGAACCTGTGTATACAACAATAGAAAGTAACTCAATCTGAAAAACCAAGAGAAAACTGTAATCAACAAAAACAACAGAGCCTCAGGTCCTTCCTGCCCATATATTACAAAGGACTTTACTTTTGCATCATCAAAGAAATTTAAGAAAATAAACAGGACAGATCTGAAAAAGTACTAGAAGAAAAAAATGGCTGAAAGTTTCTCAAATCTGGCAAAAGAATGAAAGTTACAGTCAAGAAACTGAAAACCCAAATAAGATAAACCAAACCAATCACACTAAGATAGGTCATTATCCAACTTCTGAAAACTGAAGACCAAGAAAAAAAAAATGTTACAAGCAGTAAGAGAGATGACACCTTACCTAAGAGGGCTGAACGATCTGAAGGATGGTGGATTTCCATGTGAACAATGGAGGCATCAAATGTTTCAAGTGCTAAAAAAGAAAACTCCCATTAAACAAAACTCTTCAGGAATGAGTATAAACAGATTTATAATATTACAGGCAGACTTACCCTAAAAGAATGGCTAAAGGAAATTCTCTGAACAGAAACAAAAGAAACAGTGAAAGAAAAAATCTTGGACCATAAAGAATGAAGAAAGAACCAACCGAGCAAAATGAGTAAATACAGTAGTATTTACTGAAGTGTTTGATACTTAAATTTTCTGAAGTGTTTGATACTTAAAGCAAAAGTTGTAGAGCTGGGGATTTAGCTCAGTAGCACTGTGCCTGCCTTGCAAATGCAAGGTCCTGAGTTTGATCCCTGGTACTGCAGGAAAAAAAGAAAAAAGAAAAAAAATTGTAGCACCACCTGATATAGATATATCATAAATGTATGTAGAAGTAGTCGGCACACTTTTATTATAAGTGGGGGATGGTGAAGGGACATAGAGTAAGGTTAGCATCAAAACTGTACTTGAACTGGTAAAGTGATGACACCAGAAGACTGTGACAGGGCCGGGGATTTAGGTCAGTGGTTCGGTGGCCTGCCTTGCAAGCACAAGGACCCGAGTTCAATCCCCGGTACCAAAAAAAAAAAAAAAAAAAAAAAAAAAAGAAAAGAAGACTATGACAAATTTTGTGTATGTATAGAGGAACCACTAACAAAACAGTTATGCAAAAAGATACTAAAAACTCTAAAAATAGCATAGGATGGGTGGACGGTGAGGGGTACTTGCCTGTAATCTCAGAATTTGGGAAACTGAGGCAGGACAATCACAGCTTGGGCTACATAGTGAGACCCTATCTCAACCCCCACTCCAAAATCCTCAAAACCAAAAAACACTGAAAGTAAACCACAGACTCAACCCAATATAATTATTACATTAAATGCAAATGGTCTAAGCACATTACTTAAAGCAAATTAGAGGAGCAGATTTAAACAATTCCAATTATATATCATAGCAAAATTTATTTCAAATCTCACAAGGCAAGTGTGATGTCAACTTGATTGACCAGAGATGGCTTAGGACAATGGTGGTGAACCTATGGCATGCCTGTTATTTATTTTTCTTTTAAAAGAAAAGGTGTTAATGTATGAATTTTTTTTTTTTTCCTAAACTGAAACCTTAGTGTTCAGGTTTAACTGCAGTGTTGGCACTTTGCTCTAAGTAAGTGGGTTTTGGATTGCAGTTTGAGCACTAGAAGTCTGCCATCTCTGGCCTAGGAGATTAGTAAAGCCCATTTCTGAGGGGTCATGGGGCATAACCTTGGGGGCATTTCTTCAGCTCTCTCCTGCTGCATCTGCTTCCTAGCTGCAGTGCAGTGCGCAGCTTTGCTCTGCTATGCATTCCTGACATGATGTTTCTGCCTCAGGGCCAGCCAACCGAGAGCTGAAACCATGGCCCACAATTAACACTTTCTCCGTTACATTGGCTTGCTCAGGTCTCTTGTTCATGGTGACAAAAATCTAAGTGATAAAGCAAGTTAAGAGTGAAAGGTCAGAAAAAGTTATGCAAAACATTCATCAGTGTAAGAGCGAGCATAATATTAATAGCTTAAGTAGCAACCCTAACCATAAATACATCCAAGAAAAAAGTTGTAAAATATGCCAAACCTGATAAAATTTAAAAGAGAAATAAATTCACAATTATAGCTGAATACTTCAACATCCATCACTCATCCATTAATAGAACAAGTAGAACTCAACAAAACTATTCACCAAGACAATTTAAACACTACATCCTGTATCAGTAGAATGAACATTATTTTCATGTATCTATAGATCCACATACCAAGATCATATCCTGAGGCAGAAAACTGCAACAAATTTAGCCACACATGTGTTTTCTAACCATATGGAATCAACCTAGAAAGCAATAAAATCCCTAAACTCTTGGAAACTGAGGAGCAGATTTCTAAATAATCCATGGACCAAAAGAAGTATCCAAGGAAGTTCAAAGCTTTTGAGGCTGGCCTGGCAGGTCCAGCAGGGAGACTGCCCTCCTCCCACAAGACTGGGTATTCAGCAGACTGAGGACTGCGTGTTTGATCCAATAGCCAGTCATGCTCATACATGTCGGCGTCCAAGCCTGCCTCCCACCCCAGGAGGCTTGTTCCTCTGGTGTTCAGGAAAGGCCTCCCTGAGTGCTTGGCCAAGATCTCTTCATGCGAGGAAACTTCTTTTTCAATGCATATAACATATTGGATTCTACTCATCCCGCCTTCCTTATATTTCCCCACATCCCCTGTGCCCTTCCTCTGGTCTAACGGTTCCACACCACTAGTGGTCTTGTCTACTGGTTCAGGAGATAGGGTCTCACTATGTAGTGCAGACTGGGCTTGAATAGGAGATCCTCCAGCCTCAGCCTCCTGAGTGGTAGGATTACAGGCAAGTGGCACCGGTCCCCACTACTTTCATGTCTCTTTAGGAAACTGAAGACACTTCACCTCCACTTTGTCTCAGTACTTTTCAACGCTTGGTCTTGTGGTCAGGCCCACCACTACGCTTCTATATAGGCAACAAGATCATTCCCGCTGGCTACAGGTTCCATCTGACCCTTGCTTATCTCTATTCCTCAGGCAGAAGGGGAGTAGTAGGGCATCAGCATTTTTTCTGACCCAGCCTTCTGCTTACCTATTGCTGCATATGACTAGTGCCTTCCCTTTACTTGTGGCTGTAACTGGCAACTCTCACAGCTGGCAGCAGTCCTCTGCAGCTCTGCTCATCTCTTGACACATGCAGTGCCCAAACAGAAATTGACAGTGTTAAAAAGAGGAAAAGGAAAGCTAATAATGTAAGCTACAGTCAAGAACCTAGAGGGTAAAATAAACCCAGATCAAGAAGTAAGAAAGAATCAGGCGTATACTCCCAGCATTAGGGAGGCTGAGGCAGGAGGGTTGCAACAAGTTTGAGGCCAGCTTGGGCTATGTAGTGAGTTGAAGGCCAGCCTGAACTAAATAGCAAGACTTTGTCTAAAAAAAAGAAAAAGAAGAGGAAGAGGAAGAGGAGGAGGAGGAAGAAGAAGAGGAAGAAGAAGAAGAAGAAAAAGAAAGAAAGAAAGAAAGAAAGAAAGAAAGAAAGAAAGAAAATAATAGAGCAGAAATCAATGAAATTGAAAACAGAGAAACAGGAAGCCAAAAGCTGGATATCTGGATATCACTCCAGATCCTTTGGACACCAAAGGATAAGAAAAAGAATACTATAAACAATTCTGAACACATACATTGTACATCTTAGGTGTAATGCACCAATCTAGAAAAGTACAAATCACTGCAACTCACCAACTTTGAAATGATTTGAATAGCCCTATAACTATTAAGGAAATTGAATTTTTAATTTTAAAACTCTCAAAAAAGATATCCTCATGCTAGGTCATCTTACTAAAGAATCCTGTCAAGTATTACAAAGAAAATTAACACCAATTTGACAAAAGTCCATTAAGCAGCTGGGTGTGGTGGCATATGCCTGTAATCCCAGCACTCAGGAGGCTGAGGCAGGAGGATCTCTGTGAGTTTGAGACCAGCCTTGGCTACTAGTAAGTTCCACGTCAGTCTCAACTACATAGTGAGACCCTGTCCCAACCAAAAAAAAAAGCCCATTAAGCAAAAACAGAAGAGGAACAAATGCTCCTTCATTCATTTCATTGTTAGGAGATTGAACCGAGTGCCTTGAACATACTAAGGTATGCTCAACCAGTGAGTGACATCTCAAGCCCCTTGCTAGTATTACTTTGAACTAAAAAAAGAAAAAGACCTACAGACAAGTACCTCTGATTAATATAAATATGAAGATTCCTAACAAAATATTAACAAATGAAAATAAAACATAAGAATCATACAATATAAATATGAAAACAATTATAACCTTACATTAATATGCTAAAGATCACAATAATATCAACTGATCCAGAAGAAATAGTTCACTATAAATGCAACACTTTTTTCACAAAAACTCACAGAAAACAGGAGTGGAACTTCCTCAACCTGCTGTCATTACAAAAATCCTCTAGTTAACATGATTTTGTTTTTTGAGACGAGGTTTCACTATGTATTTCAGGTTGGCCTCTGATATGCAGTGATTCTCCCGCCTCAGCTTCCTTTAGAGCCAGCATTATTAGCATGCACCACCGTGCCCAGCACAGTGAAGATGATTCTTTTTATTTTTTATTTTTGGTACTGGGAATTGAACCTTGTGCTTGTGAGGCACGTGTGGTACCTAGTGAGCTAAATCCCTGAGCCATGAAGATGATTCTTAATGTCAAAAGACGGAGAATAAAGCTGGTATGTACACTCTCCTCACTCTTACCCACAGAATGCAAGAGATTCTCGCTGGTGCCATGAACAGAAAGGAAATAAAGGCCAACAGACGCAAAGAAAGAAAGAACTAAAACAACCCCTGGGGCTGAGGATATGGTTCCACGGTAGAGCATTTGCCTAGCATGCATGAGGCCCTGGATTCAATCCTCAGCAGTACATAAAAACAAAATAAAATAAACTGTCCCTTTTGTATATGACAGAATTATTTACACAGAAATGCCCAAGAACACCAACCAAAAAACCTTTCTGGAATTAAAAGTGAATTCAGTAAGGTCACAGGATAAAGAAATAATCATAATGACAAAATATGTTTCAGATTTTATAAACGGAATACTATAACATGGTATACAAGTCATCTATAAGTCATCTATGGTCCAAAACAGTTAACAGCTAGATTGGAAAATACAGAGGTGAGAGACGATCAACAGGCAGTTGGAGGTTGGCCTTGGACCTCAACAGAGACTGAAGCAGAGAGGCATTTCTAAGAACCAGCCTCACATGTGTGCTATGTAAATCCATAGTCTGGCTCTCTAATATGGAGATAAGCAGACATGATATTATGGGACATTTGGTCTTTCTTTCATCGGTTTCTTGGAATCTCAAGGGTGGTTAAGACTGTTGGTTGATTTTCTTTGGTGCTGGGGATGGTGTTCCTGGTGCCACACCCCTGAGCTGCACTGCCAGCACAATAGTTGTTACTTTTTTTTTTTTTTTTTTAATTTTGTTGCTAAACCCAGGACCTTTCACATGGAGCTATGCCTGCAGCACTTTCACTTTTTAAAATTTTTAATTTTCAGAATGGGTTTCCTAGGCTGGTCTTGAACTCCCAATCCTCAGGACTCGGTTTCCCAGACCGCTGGGATTACAGGCATGCACTACCATGCCGAGTTCAAGCAGGTATCTTTACAGAACATTTGGAATATATTGCTAGGGACAACTACGAGATTTTGAGTCTTTTTGTTCCTTTGTGATCATAATTAATTTCTAAGAATACGCAGCTGGCAAGTTCCTTCTTTCACATTGTTCTCCTTCCACCAAATCCCAACCTCTGCAAGCCCTGTCCCTCTACCTTCCAGGCCCCCAGCCGGACCTCTTCACAGGCCACCAGGCCAAGGCCCCAAGTGTCTTTTGAATGCTAATGATAAGACACTACAGAGCTTAGGGATGGCCTCCTGGTCTCCTGGTCTCCTCACAGAGGAGAATGGTTAGAAGCACGGTTAGAAGGCTGGAATGTTCAGCCCCATTCTCACCTCCAGGAGAGAAGCTGAAGGGAAATGTGATAATGACCAGAGGAGAAACCGAAAAGGTGCATCAAGTGGGATCCCTGGAGAATACTTACATAAGGGCGGAGAAAGATGAATTAGGAAACCTACAAGAAAAAAGATATCCAAAGAAAAAGAGGAAAATGAAACGTTTTGGATGATATATTTGGAGACAGTTTCTAACAGGAAGGGGCAGTTATCAAAGCTAGATATACCAACAGAAATGAGGGGCAAGATACAACTGAACAGAACTAGAGAAACAGTTGAGCCTTTTGAGGGGGTTCAATGAAAGGATGAGTCAATGAATATCAGTGATCTTTCGAAAGTTTGAAGGAAAGTGGAAAGAAAGACGTTTCCTTATTAGAAATTAAAATGAAGCAGATGTGGTGACGCATGTGTGTAGTAATCCCACCACTCAGGAGGCTGAGGCAGGAGGATTGCTGCAAGTTGGAGGCCAGTCTAGGCTATATAGAGAGCTTAAGCCCAGCTTGACAACACTCTGTTTCAAAAAGCAAGACAAAACAAACAAAATGAACAGTGAGGAGGTTAAGGGTGGAATTCAAGGATAGAGCAGTTACCTAGCATGTGAGGACTCAGTTCAACCCTCAGCACAGAAAACAAAACAGAAATTTCCATTCTGTGAAAAAATATGAAAGAAGGATCTATTATTAACAGTAAGACCTCTTTAAAGTGAATGCCAATTTCTAAAAGGAGAAGAAATCAAAGAATAAGACACAACTAGCTGGGCATGGTGACACACGCCTATAATCCCAGTACTCGGGAGGCTGAGGCAGGAGGATCACTGTGAGTTCAAAACCAGCCTGGGCTACATTATGAGTTCCAGGTTAGTCTCAACTACATAGTGAGACCCTGCCTCAAAAAACCAAAAAAAAAAACAAAAACCAAAAAACAACAACAACAAAAAAACCCCAAACAAAGACAAACAAACAAAATGACAACTAAAATCCATGGGGGAAAGCAGTAAATCAGGTGACTTCTGGAGAGTAATTGAGGTGACTGGCCTCCCTGAGGACCTTGACAACCTTCACATAGGTCTAACAAAGCATGAGAGCTAAGGATGATTTAGAAAACTAGGAAAATAATATAGAATTTCTGGACTTCAAAGAAAGAAGTCTCTGTACCAAAGACTATCCATTGAAAACATTTACTAATTAGCCTCTGTATATAAGAATTTGAGTCCCGCACAAATACTTCTATACTTTAAATCACTTTTAGCCTGGGATTTAGCTCAGTGGCACCATGCCCACCTTGCAAGCATAAGGTCCTGAGTTTGAACCCTGGTACAGGTGGGGGAAACGGAAAGACAAACAAAAAAACAAAAAAACAAAAAAAAAAACCAAAAACCCCACAACAAACAAACAATAAATCACCTCTAGACTATTTACAATACCCCAAATAATGTAAATGATATGTAAATAGTTATTACACTGTACGGTAAGCCCTCAATTTATGAACACGTTCTATTCCAGGAGAATATTCATAAGTCAGATTCCTTTGTAACTTCAACAAAGTACATCATTATGTACCTTATATAAAATATAAAGCATAAACACACACACACAAATACTGTAAATAATGTTTCTGGACATTCTGGGCCCTGATTGAGCACTGTACTATTGTACACGATCACACTGTTCAGCAAGCACACAACAGCACAAACATGACAGTGTCTGGCAGACACAAGAGCTACTCCTTGACTTGTTTGCATCTATACATGTTCTGAATGAGAGGTCTGTTCATTTCTGTGAAAACTTACAACTTGAATTTTCATAAATTGGAGACTTACTATATTGTTTCAGGAATAACAAATAAGTCTGTGTATGTTTGGTACAGATGTGAATCTTTTCCCTCAAGTTTTCTACCCATAATTTGTTGAATCCATGGATATGGAACTCAAGGATACAAGGGTTGACTATTTCCTAAGCGTCATGAAAAGCTGGCCTCTCTTTAAGATCTATATAGAGCTTATATCTTCAAAATCCTTACAGATCTGGTAACATTTCTAGAGTTATCCTCAAGCCAGCAAGCAAGAGACTTTGCAAAGCTGAGGGAAAAGTAGACAACTCTGTCAGGAAGTCACACCTGAGCAGGCATCCTGGGTGCTGTGGCCCTGAAGCTGTGTCAACACAGGAGGCAGCCCTGCCCCACTCACCTGATGTGGAAATCCCTACTTCCTTCTGCTGGCCAAGGAGCAGGTTGTGGATGCAGCAGGACACATTCTCCAGGGAGGTGTCTCTGATGATCACTGAAGCTGCCACAGTGAAAAGACCCTCTTGATCAGGACTCCTGGACTCAAATGTGGACAAAAACTTCTCCCCTGCACGAGTTGTCCACTGCACCTGGGGCTCTGGGTACCACCCCACAGAGGTACACTCCAGCCGGATCTCTCCATTTTCCTGAACCTCCATGCCGATGTGAGGGTCAGAGCCCAGGGCTGTGGAGAAAGAGGTGGCCTTAATGTTTCAGTGGTTACCCTCCTGGAAGCCTTATAACCACAGCATTACTGTACTTATAGAGAAGCACACAACCAAAACAGGAATAGAGGCATCTCAATTCCTCATTTCAAAGGAAACTTAGGTACCAGTAAAATAAAATGACATTTCACACACCACATCAAAAAAAAAAAAATGCCTGTGGGTATTACGAATAAGTCCAACCCTAAAGGATGGATGGGCATTTGAGGTGGATGGGCAGACATGAAACGTGCTCTTTCAGGAAGTGGGAACAACAAGTGCAAAGACTCAGAGCGGGCAAGAGGCATAGGCTGGGAACTGTAGCAGTGGAAGAGGAGCCCTGTTGATGGAAGTAAGAGCACAGGGCTGGGAGACCAGGCAGAACAGGTGCTGTATTGTTGGGAAGGCAAGAACTGGAGAAAAGAAAATTGTTTTCTGTGCTTTTTTCTGGATGACTATGGGAGAAGAAGTAGAATCATAGTAAAAGACTCAGTGTTCCTTTGCTGTGATATTTTTTCAGGGATTCCCTTAAATGTAGTAACATTTAAGTTACTACTTCTAAGACTTTACTTTTCTGCTTACTTCTTTTCTTGTAACTCTATAGGGCATAGGAAACACCTGACAGATTTACAGCTAATCTATTAGGCATCTGCCCAAATATACAGATCTTTTGCAAGTGGGAAGGGGACCAAGAGATGGAGGGAGAGAAGGGGAAGAAAAAAGAATTAAGATGTATTATATATACGTACCAACTCCCTACAATGGATGTAATCATTATGTACTACAAACATGTACTAAGAAAAACTAAAAAAGTAGCTGGGCATGTTGGTCAGCACTTGAGAGGCTGAGGCAGGAGGATTACTTTGCATTCAGGGCCAGCATGAACTCTATAGCCATGAGTTCAAAGCCAGCCTGAATTACAGAGCAAGTCCCTGTCTCAAAAAATAAACAACCCCCCGCCAAAACCAAAACAAACAAAAACCTACTAAAATGTATGTGTGTATAAATGTTAATCTTTGTCAAGAGATTTAACAAATTTTACTATTTTTAAAATTGGGTCTGTGTCTTATAGAAGAGCCAGTTTTGTCTTAAGTTTCTAGGTTCGTAGAATTAATTGTCAAGATAATTGTTTCTTTCTACATATAAAAGTACAGGGACTAACATACGCTGCTGCCATAGAGGTTCCACTGTCATGGAGCTGAGATACAGATTTCACCAAGATATTTAAAAAATCTGAGTAGCTAAAAATAAATATTAAAAGGCAGTGCAGCAATTCAGACATTGTCTCAGTAACTTCTAACCACAGTAGTAATATCTTACCATACTGTTATGCTTACAAAGTTTATAAGCCACTTTCACCCCTTAAGTGTTCCCCAAGAAGTGAAAACCCATCTACTCACCAGCCACTCTCAGCTGTAGGAAGGCCTCTCTGAAGGGGCACCTGTACACCCCTTCAGCAAAGGCCCTGATGCCATGGATCCTCAGCATTGCAATGCCCTGAAGACGTGTTTTCTGTGACCAGTGTCACCATCCGCTGCTACTCAGGCATGTGCTCTCTCCTGCTCTTGCCCATCTTGGTATACCAACAAAGATGGAGAGAATGTGTTCTAGAACCACCGGAGTTCCATGTGCTCAGCACTCACATTTGGTGAAAGATAACACAGCAGTTCAGAGGCTTCACCCATTAATGTGAGGATGGGCTCCAGAGGTCCAAGGACTTCAAAGGGAACTGCCCCCCCCCCCACAAAACAAAAAGCAAGATATGGGTGAGGTGACAGAACTATAGACTGACAGGAAGTAAGCCCAGCCTAAAAGCAGACTTGCTCGTGCGCTGCATCCCACTTGGGAAGAACCTCTGTGATGGTTTGTATTTGCAGAAGCACTTTAAGCCAGTGAGCTGGAGGAGTGAAAGAGTTGGGGAAGAAGGGAGACCTACCTGCATTCAGTGTGCGCAGCTGAAAGAGCATGAAGGTAAGAAGACACCCAGGGAGGAAGTTTGGGAAAATGGCCATCCACATCCTTTCTGGAGCAGGAGGATATGGACATGAGTCTACTAGGAATTTCAGCCTAGAGATGAATGGTCAGGAGGTAACTATGGGCTTGGGAGCCCCTCTTTTCCACAGCCCTCCAACAGTTCTTTCCAACAGGGAAGGTTCTGGTGCTTTGCATCTAAAGCCCATCTCCAATGCCTCCTCTTCAGTGAGGATTTTCAGCCCTCACTGACATCAGCACCTGCCTACTCATCTAAGTTTGTATAAAACAACAAACTGGACCATAAAACACGAAATGAAACATGGGAGAAGGCAGGTGTTGTATACATTAGTGGGCTGCATATAAATGAATAAATCTTGGAATCACTACACTGAAAAAAAAAGTCTTCCAAATACAATAATTTGTCATATGCTTTCAGCAATGTCAGTCAGGAAATTTGGCTTAGAAAATGGCTGGAAAAATAGACTTCCATTTCCAATCCTGCACAGATAATCATTAGATCCTACTTTATATATTCTACCACCCCACTTTTTATTCTTTTCCCACTTCGGTGTTAAATACTTTTCAGTTTGCATAGACATCTTTTTCTCACTTTTCTGTATATTTTTCACTCTCGTTATACCATTAGTTTGAACAGTCACAAAACAAAAATAAAATGCCCTCAAAAAGTGCGGCAGTCTTTGCAGGAAAGATGTGAAGGTTAGTACTCTGTAGGTCTTTGCCTACACGTGTACATTCTTGAGAAAATCCCTTCACTAAAAACAGTTGCCTTCTATTTATAATAATTCAAGATTTGCTGTCAAAGTGATTTTCAAGGAAAGTAGGTGTGAGTGGCAGAGACAGTGACAAAAGAATGAACCAGAGAAAGATAAAAAGATGGGTCAGAAGGGGGCCTTGTGGCAGGGGCCAGGTTTATTAGATTGGGGCACTTAAATTGCTTGGGTGAGGGGCTCCGCAAGCTGTGGGGAATTAAGGCACCTGGAAAACACGGAGTATTAAAGAACTTACATACACATTTTTGGAACTCTTTTTAATATAATCGAGAGATCACCAGGAGATATTCTGAGTCATATTTTTGCTTAAGATCGCAATTTGTCCCTAAGCGTATGCAACCGGCAGGCTTCACTTACCATGCTGTTCTGATCCCTCCAGATCCCAGCCTTGCGTGTCCACTCCCTCCGCACCCCGGCCAGCCCCCGCCGCTCAGCTTCCCAGCCCCGTTTTACAGCCCTGCTCAGCGCCCATCTCCCCCACATACGCCTTGGGACTCCATCTGGAAGTCACCGCCCACAGAACTGAGGTAAGCGACAGTTCCTCATCCTTAAAGTACGTTAAAAAGTTAAATTTAGCAGCTTAATTAAGCAAAACAGCACTGGGCAGCAGGCAACCAGCCATCCAGGTAGGAGAGGAAAACAGGGCAGCCACAAGTAACCCGGGACTGAAGCTACACGAGGCCTGAAAAAAAAGCTGCGTGCAATTGGCTGAGGCTCGGCTACTGGGTTCACTGAGCTCAGTTTACGCCGGGATGTGGTTGCAGTTCCTTACGCGAAGCAGTCAACTACGGGGGCTCCCTCAGGCCAAATTTAGCTTGGAGCGTGTGTTGTACGCTTACTTTGAAAAACTGTAATGGAATTTTCTTCAGACAAATTAGTTTTCTGATGGCCTCAAAAGTGTTAGTGTTTCTTATCAGTTACCAGGCGGTAAAACCCTGGGGAAAGTTAAGTGAAAACTGAATCTGCCTTGAATTATACACATCGAAGATTAATTCCAGCCCTGCCTGTCTGTGAGTTTACCTGTTTGAGTCATTAATGTGTATAATCAGTATTTCTTGAAATTCAACTGTTTCATGTCTTAAAATAGAAGCATCCGCTGAACTGAGAAGAAAAAGTTTTTAATGGGTGGAGAGGAAAATTTGTATTATGGGTATCATTTTAATTAAAATATGGTGGCAGTTGCTAGCATCTGCTTTTATATAAACAGGCGCAAGAGGAGGTTCTCACTTTCTACTCTACAGCCAATGAAAGTATGAAAGGAGTAGAAACAGACCAATTTAATCAATTTCAGTTATCTCCAGAATTTTAAGTCTCGGATTCATTACTAAATTGTATAATTTTCTGTTTTCCAGAGACAGTGCTTCAACTTTTTGGTATGTTCCTTTTTTTTTGTACTGGAAATTGAACTCGGGACCCTGTGCTTGTGAGGCAGGCAGCAACACCACTGAACTAAATCTCTGGCCCTTTTTGCTATGTTCTGTATTTTTCATAAAATTATTTTAGGTGTTAGTGAGCACTTAATTTACCCTTCCTATTTTCTACTATATGGTACTTTATTATTATATATCTTTTTTTTTCTGGTTCTGGTGATTGAACTCAGGACCTTGGCACTGAGCTAAATTTAGTCCTTTTGCCTCAGCCTCCTAGAATGCTGAGATTACAGATGGTCACTACCATACCTGGCTACTGTATTGTACTATATTGTGTATTTTTTTTTGAGACAGGGTCTCAATATATATAT